CCTTCGGCCCCGTCTGCGCATTCCTCTCCCCCACATCCAACGCAACCAAAAACCTACTCACGCAATTATACGCCGCGACCGTCGCTGTAATCTCCACAATCTCCTTCTCGCTAAACCCCACCATTTTCAACTGCTCAAACACGCTGTCTGGCACACGAACGTCTAGTGTCATGGCATCCGTGTATGCCAGTACAGCGCCCAGCTTCTCGCCTAAGTCGGCGAGTGGTTCCCGCGGTTTGGAGTTTAGGACGGCGAGGACTTGGGGTTTTGTGACGTCTTGTTGTTGGGTAAGTGGGTGTCTAGTGTCTAGGAGTGGGGGTAGAGGAGAAGAGGAGAAGAAGAGAAATGGGAATAGGGTGATGGGGGAATAGGCATACCTTCAGCTGATTCCAGAATCGGCGAATGAGACTCCCATTCGTACCATGCCTTGTTTAGGACTGCAACGCGGCAAATGGCTGTTTCGCGGATGGAAGTGGGTAGACTGGTTTTTGTGCGGATGGAGCCGAGGAATGAGTTCCTGGTCATCTCCGTCAGTTCGTCGCATTTCAAAGTGGATGTTTGATTGGAGTGTGAATGGCTGTGTTATGCGCCCGTCCATCGTGTGTGGACTAGGTAGGACAGCATGATATGGAAGATTGGAGCATGATGCTTTGGCACTTACCACCCGTCCGCGACTGGGGGAGCATGAAGCAATGTTCGGTCCAGAGCTATGAGGCCCTTCTCGCCTCGCCGTTGTCTGACGCGCTGCTCGACGGCTTTGTCTTCCTCGGACGTGAAGTTCGGTGGGTCGGGGACGTAGGGGAGACGCATTGTGAGGTTGGTAAATCGATGAAATGTTCTTGTAATCGTGAACGTCTTGTCGACTTATATAGATCAAGACTCAGTCTGAGTCAAACGCGTATGCTCCTCTTCGTCGAGATCGAGATGAGTCAAGCTGCGTGCTCGTCACTACATATCCCGAGGTCGGCAATAGAGCTGGAGCCGTCGGAACGCATTCCGAACACTGAGCTGGCGGGGACGAATCACAACTCTCTTCGCTTACCACTTATCGATAACGAGACTTTCACCATCCTTTCCCACCTAGTCCGATGACTGTCGCACCCGGCTGTAAACAACAACACAAACAATAACAGACATGGCGCCCAATTCTAAGCTGAACGCAAAGCGCAAGGCGCAAAGAGAAGGAACGCAACCTGCGAAGCCCAAAAAACCGGAAAAGCGTCTGGCGAATGGCGCTAAAGGACCTGGGATTTCTTACATTCCGATTGAACTCCAGCAACTTTTGTTGAACATTTTCCGCAACTCGTTCGCGGAGAGGATGAGCGCGGATATAGCGCCGCTGCTGCAGGAAGTCAAGGGCCATCTTTACAAGCGCGACTTTGCAACTGCATTTGGGAAGAAGGAGTATTTGGAGGCGTATGCGGCGAGGTGGAGTCCGAGTCGCGCGTTGGGATATTTGGATCTGATGTGGGAGTTGAGGGACGAGCTATGGGTTGATGAGGAAGAGGAGGAAGAGGATCAAGAAGGCAAGACAGGGCAAATCAAGCCGAAGAACAGGAAGATTGTGTGTTTGGGTGGTGGGGCGGGCGCGGAGATTGTGACTTTGGGCGGTTTGCAGAAGCTCATGTCGACCACATATTCACAAGATGGGGAAGATGTAGATGGTCCGAGAGGTCATGTGGAGATTACCGCCATCGACATTGCCGACTGGAGTGTCGTCGTGGAGAACCTCGCCAAACAACTCACGGTCCCGGCCGAACTATCGAAATACGCATCCGCCGCTGCAAGAGCCGCAAACGTCCCGCCTCTTAACCCAGAAGACGTTACCGTACAATTCAAGCAGCAAGACGTGCTCTCCGCCTCGGCTGAAGAACTATCCTCTCAACTCGCCGACGCAAACCTCGTCACCCTCCTCTTCACCCTGAACGAACTCTACACAGCCTCACTGCCCCTAACCCAAAAGTTTCTTCTCCTCATGACAACGATCCTCCAACCCGGCGCTCTCCTCCTCGTCGTCGACAGCCCCGGAAGTTACTCGTCCGTCACTCTGAACGGCGCTGAGAAGAAGTACCCGATGCAGTGGCTCCTCGACCACACGCTGTTGAAGCAGGCCAGCGGGAATCTGAATGAGCGCGGCAAGGAGGAGATTGTCAGGTGGGAGAAGGTTAAAGAGGATGATAGTAGGTGGTATAGGTTGGATGAGAGATTGAGGTATCCGATTGAGCTGGAGAATATGCGTATGCAGGTGCATCTTTATCGGAAGTTGTAAGACGTCGCAATACCATCGACAAAGATACAAAACTACCCTTTCAACCCTTTCTCTTCAGTGGCCCTCACCCATTACCCATCCAGCCGCCATCACGGTGTCGACTCATCCATCAAGTCTGACTCGGGTCACCATTGCCACTCGCTTATGCACTCTTCCTGCGACTTGATCGAGGCACTAGAAACCATCGAGCCTGCACGGCGTGGTTGTCAAGACATATTCAACTGTCTCTTCGGAGCTGGTCGCCTTATCCGCGATAGTGGCTGAACCTGCCGCACCAATGTCGCGGATGTGGTGTGTCGATAAGCGGAGCTTGAGAGGTCCGTTCCATTCGTCGCATGGCGTCCACGCATGCGACATGATGACCAGTCCTCATGAAAAGCAAGATCACAAACTCCCTTCTCCTCTCACCCACCCCTAACCTCCGTACAACTCCACCCCCTCTCCCTCTCCCTCCCCCGCCCATAAATATCCTCCGGCCTCCGAACCCCACTCCCCGAATCCACCCTCTCCATCTCCATCCTCATACTACTCCTCGACAGTTCCTTCGTCACCAAAATGCTCTTCAAACTATGGTTCTCCTGCACACTGCGCAGACTGATATCGCTGCTGCTTGCCGGACTGAGCTTGGGTGTCTCTCGTAATCGTGTCTTTTCGTAGCGGCGGAGGAGGATGGCGATGATGGGGACAAGTAGGAGGAGGCACACGATGGCTATTACGATGCCGATTATTGCGCCGGGACTGAAGCCGTCGCGGCGGGAGCTGCCGTTTGGGATGGGGATTATGGCTGGTGGGGCTTCGGGGGTGAGGGTTGTGGTGGGGAGGGGGATTGGTGGCATGTCGTTTTTTGTGTGGTTGGTAGTTGTTGTTGTGACAGGTTGCTGGGTTCTCCCAGTAATGAAGATTGGAGATGTAAAGGCGCCGTGTTCGTGGAGTAGAAAGCGACGACGGGACAAAGTGCCCAATGGAAAGATTCAGTGTAACGACAGTAGTATAGTGAGCGAAAGTCCAGAGTATGACAGAAATGAGGGACAGGAACCACGCTCCGTAATAACAGAAAGGATATGCCAGGCTGTCAATCCCGATAGTAAGAACACGAGGGGTTTTCATGCCACGAATAGCACCCCATTACGCCTTATTGTCACCTTCCAGAACATCCTTCAACTATGCCTATCCCGACCAAATCGCAGCACCCGCTGACCACAAAGACGTGAGGACAGCCTAGCGCACTCCGCGACCCTCGTTGTAGCGATCAGAATTGGCTGCAAGGCAAAGTTAGTGGCGTTTACAACTAGCCAATCACGTCTCGTTGGCTGCCGAGCGTGAGCCAGAGCCGCACGCCGCCTCGCCTCAGACAGCGTGCGTTTGCGCTGAAGGATCAGGGTCTACAGCGAATCGTAGGCGGGAGGGGTAGAGGGGTCGTGATGCCCTTTTGTGAGGCGCATGTGGAGGGACGTGGGGACGCGGTTTCGTTGGACCGGAGGTGCGCGAGGTGAGGCTTGCGCAGGTACGCCCGTACAGGCCAAAGGGGGGTTTTTGGGGGTAATGGGATGGTATTTGGTGAGGTATTGACCGCTTGTTCGGTTCGTTTCATTAATCTGCCGTGTGTTTAAGTATTGTGGGCAAGAATTAGAGATGTCACGAGGACGTTGTGGAATGCCCAGGTGTTGTTGCCAGTGGCCAGCCGTGCCTGCCCCTTGGTCGTAGGCGAGGCGACAGGCTGCCCCTCATCATCAGCACCATAGCGACTGTACTCTCATCCTCTACCAAACGTCTGCCTGGACACAACATCGCGCAATTCTCGCTCCATCGTACATCGGATGTGTTCTGTACGTGATCTGGACGAAGCTTCACGTCGCGGTAGCGGTGTCATTCTGGCTTGTGTTCGACCGTATGTCTCGCGACGCGATCCTCGCTACCGCAACGCAACCCTCAGTCAACGGCGGTATCGCGCTGGTAGTACTCTGACACTCATTATGGAGCAAGGAACCATACTGTGTTCTCTTTGTCCGTTTTGACGATTGCGATATGTACCTGTCGTCCTCTTCTCGAAGCCAACCTCCACGGCATTACGGAAGAGACTCGTCCCGATTGCTTCCCAGGTAGCAGCTTGTCGCGAGAGGGAGTCGGAGAGAGCAATCTTCCAGGGATTGACGGGTTTACCAGTACACTCCGAAGATCAAAGTATGACGACGACTTCTGACGGCAGAAGTAGTCGACGCATTCTAAGAGTGCGAGTGCGAGACCGACAGCGAAGCTCAATACGCGTATGCACGGTTCCTTGTCCCGTATCTCTTCCGATACGCGACTTGTGCCCCCAACCTGACGTTGCCGTGCGCTTTGCTATTCAATCGGCGGACACATTATTGGCTAGATATATCGTTGAAACAAAGGATCTGGGGCTTTTAGATCTCGCGCTTCCGCGGATCGACACCGGAAGCATGGCTGTGCGCCCTTCCCGGCGTGCATCACCAAGGATGCGGGCACTATGTTGCTATCTATCTGGTCTTGGTTGCGAAGCTGGTACCACAAACTAGCAATAACTGTTACGCGTATACCATACGGACGAAGGTGTTTACTAATGTTGTTTTAGAGCTGTCAATCCTGGGGTCTTTGAAGAGACATATAAGACATGGCTGCATTCTTGTCAATCGTGTTGCAACAACAGCCTGCGCAGCAACTTCATACGATTCAAAACTATCATTCTTTCATCACCGCTATCTTCCATTTCATCATGAAGTTTAGTACCGTCATCGTCGCTTCCAGCGCCACACTCGCCTCGGCGAGACCTCAGTACGATGCCGCACCATCGGATCCTCATGCTTGGATGGCGGCGTCGCCAAATGACTGTATGTATACAGACTCTTATGTGGAACGAAGATCTAATGCCGATATCCGTAGTCCGGGGCCCATGCCCGATGCTTAACACCCTAGCGAACCACGGCTTTCTTCCCCGCGATGGCCGTAACTTCACCCAAGAGAACGTAGTCAAGGGCTTGAAGGACGGCTTGAACTTCAACGCGTCTCTCGGCGCGCTCATGTGGCAGCAAGCAATCATTGCCAATCCGGAACCGAACGCGACTTTCTTCACTCTCGAACAGCTCAACGTCCACAATGTCCTCGAGCACGACGCCAGTCTCACACGTACCGATGCGGCTTTTGGCAACAACCACGTCTTCAACGAGACGGTATACAATGTATCGAAGCAGTGGTGGACGGAAGAGGTGGTAACAGCTAAGATGCTGGCCAACTCCAAGATCTTCCGTCAATTGGAGAGCCGAGCAACGAACCCAAACTACACCTTCACCGCTTCTACCGAAGAGTTCAGTCTAGGTGAAGTCGCAGCGCCTATCATCGCTTTTGGTTCTCTTGAGGAGGGTACTGTCAACCGCACGTTGATGGAGTACTTCTTTGGTGAGTTCAACCACTACTTTCACATTATCGGGCGCAATGTTAGACCGCAAGCTAATGCTAAAGCAGAGAATGAACGTCTCCCTAATGATTTGGGCTGGACAAAGAAGTCGGACGAGATCACTCTCATGAACATCCTAGCTACGACGAGTATTGTCCGCAATGCGACGAGTCTGCTCACTGGCGGCAACACGGCCGAAGACTCACCTCACGGCAAGCGCGATATTCACGGTGGGATGTTTTAAGATGGCGGTCTGCAAAAGGTTCAGAACCAACACCACATGTCAGACTGTGTCAGCTTTCAATACGGCGCGTTGACGGTCTTGCTGCGTGCATATACCGCGCTTGTATGTTGCTGATAGCGGTTAGATAGATACTAAACATACTTTACATCTTCCCGATGTGCGCTCTCTCCGCTAGTGGCGCGTCATGCCCGTCATATCATGAAGTCGGACTCGTAGCGGTTCGACAGCTACACGCCGAATAAAACATGCTCGCAGCAAGTCCATCGACATAGTCACGCGTGATACGTGATCCAGTATTTCCACCTTTTCTTTGCGGAGCTTTCCCGAAGCGCGCTCGAAGTGGAGTCGCGGTATACACTTAACTAAGCCTTTAGGCAACTACCACGTCTCGGACTCTTCTCACGGAGTTCGCGACTATGACGCAACCTATACATCTTTCGACTTCATTCACCTCGTTCCCACCACTACGCATAGCCGAGAGCTGCGTACAAAGAGCATCTGACAGCGATGAGGAAAGGGTAGCGCGGATTGTATCGAGCGCTTGCGACAAGGGACTGTCGCCGAGAGCGAGCTCAGTGTACCCGTCGACACCAGATTACAGTCCGGATGAGGACACCTACTTCATTACCACAGCGCAAGTCCCGTGGCGTGTGACCTCTCCTACCTCATTCTACCGCGACGTACCAGGATCGCTCCCAGGCTGGCTGAGCGGGACGAACCTATGGCCAGCTCGTGGCTCTTCACTTGCGACACCACCCGTAGTAACGCCATCCACGGTACTGCATCGTCGCTCTCTAACGGCAGCGGCCGGCGACACGGACGAGATTGACCATGTACCTGCACCACTTGAGACACGCACAAAGCAGGACGAACGGTCGCCAGTCGACGACTCACAAGAATGGGACCCTCGAGACCCTTATACGTGGCCGATTGTCTATCTACCATTTCACCTGTCGCCCAACGTAAGCGTACCGTCGCACATCGACGAGATGCTCGTTCACGTACACTTCAAGGGCTTCGGGGCGACATTGCTGCACAACTTGTTGTACAAAGCGAAGGAAGAAATGGAGACGGAAGAGGAGAAGACAAACATTGGACGCATGGCTTTTGACTTCTGGCCTTTCAACTTCACCCAAGATGGATGGTGGAAGGGTGTCAGTGGGATATCTCCGGAAGATGTCGATGCGTGGCAGGTAACGCGACAACGAGATCAAGATTGTGGGCTTGGATGCGTGGAATACGACGGACAATGAGCATTCTCCCCTGCCAGCACAAGGTACATGAGGCCGTCCTTTCTCAATATCGAGTTGTTCAACAGGCATTAACACTGGCGTTGGGGGCAACACAAGTTCTGGACTAGCTTGGCACATTCGGCGGCCGCCATTGCCGCTGGTCGGCCATCTCGATTACTGAACACTATCCTTCAACACCACTTCACCACCACACCACCACCTGCGCACGACTCGCAACAGCGCGTATACAAATCCATGAATCGGATGTATAGTCCCTCGGTCGAAGTTATCCCGGTACTACCTGGTCGCAATAAAAGTCGTCTGCACCAATCTCTGCATAGCGCAAACCTCCTCTCACTTGGCGATGTTTTGAAACTCCGTCTGTGCGATCCATCAATCACATACCCACTCGCATGCGCCACCACGTGCGACATGAATAATTACCGCAAGCGAGTTGTGGGGTACAGCAGAGCTTGCTCATTCGGGCGCCTGTGTCACTGCGTCGAGGGTTGCACGAAGCGAAGAGTCGGAAATTTAAGGCATTGGTGGAGCTTCGACGACGGCGCATGCTCATCTATTACATCTTGGCGACTGACACGAGAGGTACAGAGGTACGGACTCATGACATGCGACAAACTCATGGGGTCGCGATATGCCGCGGAGATTGATTTAGGAGTATATAGAGTCCATAGACTGTTTATTGTAGGAATACAGAACAACCTTGGCCTACCAGTACATCTCAACACCCGTCTTGTATTATCATACTACTTTTCAACATGCGTTCGCTTAGTCTCGCGGCTGCTATCGCTGCGCTATCTGCCTCTGCAAACGCCAAAGACATCTATGTTTCGCCAACAGGTCAAGGGACGGGTACCTCTACCGCACCCTTTGGCTCAATCCAATCAGCCGTCAACGCTGCTGCGCCTGGCGATGTGATCCTTCTCCGCGCTGGTACATACAAGCCGACGACAAACATCCAAATCACCAAGAGCGGCACCAGGATCCAGCCCATCACTCTGCGTTCCTTCGAGAAGGAGAAGGTCATCATCGATGGCGAAGGCATGCCCGGAACGCCGTACGCTCTAGACGAGTCTCTACCAAACAAGGAGCGTGGTGCTCTTCACATCGAGAAAGCGAACTACTGGAAGTTCTACAACTTAGAGTGAGTACACCTATCTACCTCCGCACCCCAATCGTCTTGCATACTAACACAACGCCCAGAATTATCAACGGCCCATACGGCGTATACGCCCGCGACGCGTCGCACAACCACTACGAACTCCTCACCACCCACGACAACTACGAAACCGGTTTCCAACTCCAGGGCGCCTCCTCCAACAACACAGTTGTGTACCTCGACTCCTACCGCAACCGCGACCCGCGCAAGAACGGCGAGTCCGCCGACGGCTTCGCTTGCAAAGAAGGGTCGGGCGAGGGCAACGTCCTGCGCAACGCGCGCTTATGGGAGAACGTCGACGACGGCCTTGACCTCTTCATGTTCGGCTCGTCCGTCACGCTGGAAGAGGTATATGCGTGGGGCAACGGCTTCAACCGGTGGGACTTCAGCTCTTTCGAGGGCGACGGCAACGGCTTCAAGCTCGGTATCACAGATAACCCGCCTGCCAACCACATTGTGCGAAACTGCATGGCGTTCTCCAACGCGAAGAAGGGGTTCATTGATAACGGGAACCCCGGTAGCTTGACGGTCGAGCGCAATACCGCGTGGAAGAATGGTGATGTGGGCTTCAATTTCCGCAGCTCGAGCTCGGCTATGAAGAACAATATTGCTGTTTCGAATGTGGGTAGCTCGCAGGTCAGCCTCACCGCGTCGGGTATCAAGGCGACGGGTAATTCGTGGCAGTCCGGCAGCTGGTCGGATGCTAGCTTCTTGAGCGTCGATCCTGCTACGTTGAAGAAGGCAAGAGGTGCTGATGGAAGGGTTCCGAAGAGCGACTTTCTCGTGCCGAAGAGCGGTGCTGCTATTGGCGCGACTACACAGTCTGATGTTTGATCTTTCGTTTGCGCACTAGATGTCGTGCTCGTCGCGATGTTTTCCCTTCTTGTTCATGCCATCTGTTTGTACATATGTTTCATGCTTAATTATATTCACTACCTCAAACGCCCCTTTGACGTAGATTGTGTCCTTCGGATAGCTCCACCGACATGTTTGGTCGACCCAATACCAACTCCCGATTGAACTCCGTTGCACTTCTTGACTTTGTTCTTCCTTTTGGAGTTCGTTATTCCGAAGCGTCGGTGTCGGTCTGCTCTGATGGAGACAAGTCGTCGTCGGTGTCGGTCTCTTCGGATCACGACGACCCATCGCCTAAGTACGCGAAGATTCTGTCTTGAAGCGCCCGCATTTTCTCTTTCAACCCATTCTCCTTCGCCGCATGAAAGACATGTTTCCGCCATACCTTGTTTGCATTCATAGAAACCTCGCTCCATTCGACATCTTCGTTCCAGCCCCATCCACGCTCGACCGTTTCACTCCTTTCAAAATCGTACCTACCTTTACACCAAGGGTGAAGGAAAATAACAGTGGAGTGGATACCTCTCCTTTCGGCGTTGTAACAAAATTCGGCTAGCAGATCCAGCCACTCGACTTCCCAATGATTAGGTATGAGTTCAATGCGGATCGACCGGAGATAGGGACATGCTTTGCTGCTTTCCTCTACAAGACGGTAGAGCGCAGGTATGAGGATGTTTGGGATGATGTCGAGATCATGAGACATAAAGCCAGGTATCCAATGGTGTTGCGACCGTGTAAGCCAGAGCTCCTCCAAGGATGCTGGAAGGGCTTTCCAAAACATGTCTATGGTCAGCATGATGTCCTCCTCGAATTGAACGGTGCATTCGTCATGGATGTATCCCCAGATCATTTCGGGCGCTACCCGGACGCGCCGAAGAGACTTGAATGAAGTGAATGACATGGCGGGCGTCCGTCTATCCAAGAACTCCCACCATGTCTGTTCAAATACCGTACAGCCTTCGACCTCCTCGTAGCTGAGTGCGAGAGTCTCCAGGTGGTCCTGATGATCTTGCAGACAACGCATGAGAAAGGGAAGCTCCGCCGAGCGCGACGTGAAAGGACCTGCCCTCTCGTACAGGAAAGCTTTGAGTTTGCCCGGTATAGTCGCTTCGATCAAGTCTCGCAAAGTATGCGTTGCCAGCGAGGAGGCTCTGAGCTCGATGTATTGCACGCCACAGGATCGCAGTCCTAGCACGGCGAACGGATTTCTCTCCATCATATTGGTATTCACATCGTCATCCCCAAACCTGAATGCGTACATGGAGCGAAGATTCGGCAAGTGGAAGAATGATGCCAGGTATTCAACGTCGCCGGCATCAGAATCTCTGATGAACACATCGACAGGCTTTTGTAATGGGGCGGTTGGAGACGAGGAAGATTCCGTTGAATTGAGTGACACCGCTTTCTTAGCCTCAAGGCGCCCGGCAGACCCCTTGATCATTTCGCAAAAGAGCTCATGGTCACGAAACTTTCCGAATTCCAAGTCTAATCTCTCCAGGTTTGGGAGATTCGCGACGAGCAGTGTGATAATGACGTCCGCATCGGCTGCATACAACTTAATGTACATTCTCAGCGCCTGAGTTTCATCGTAGTAATATTCCCGACATATCCGCTCTAGCAGTTGCTCGGTTTCGGGAGTTTCGATTCTTGGCCATGGCTTCACCTTGAAACCGTCAAGGCGAGGCGCGCTCTCACAACCTCCCCAACCTTCTGGAAGGGCAATGGACTTTACAAGC